ATGTCTAAGATTCCTTCCGCATTACCGACACAAAGGAGCTTTCATACGTTGTGTTGAATCTCCGGCAGAGAATGTCACGTCGAAAGACGTGTCCTTGAACAGGTTAATAGCAGAAATAGAAAGCTGACTTAGTCGCGTATAGCTCAACATCACCAGATTTTAGTCACTCGTGCTTATATGTGTATCTTCTTATGACACAGTCATCGAGCCCAGATAAAAAGATCTCCTTTCAATAGCTGTTGAAAGCAAGCAGGTAGGCAAGCATTGAAAATAGCCATTTAGCCATTTTTCTATCGACTCATTATCCCTTCATTTTGACCCGATGCATGTCGAAAGTTGGAATTTACTAAAAGTTATTCGATACACTGTACCAAACTCAGTATAGACAATATATATACATACATACATACATACATACATACATACATACATATATATATATATATATATATATATATATATATATATATATATATATATATATATACATAGTATATATATATATATATATATATATATAGTAAATATATTGTTACCTATATGTTACTTATATTATAACACACACACACACACACACACACACACACACATATATATATATATATATATATATATATATAAATATATTGTTACCTAAAGGTAACAAATTCGTTGGTATATAATCCAAGTGGATCCTAGTAATATAAAATATTAAAACTGATCCACAAAAGCTCAAAGTATTTATTAATACAGAGCCATATATATATATACATGCGTGTGTTTGTAAAATTCAGAGCGATATATATATATATATATATATATTCTGGTGAATCTAAATAAATAGAGAAACATGTTAAATTTACAAATAACTACATATTTCTTACACACACACACACACACACACACACATATATATATATATATATATATATATATATATATATATATATATGATATGCAAGAATTTGGTCATATTCGTCGGTACTTTGATTAACAGATATGAACAATCTGTGATAGCCAGCTAGCAAGTTAGGTAGATAGATTAAGATTGATATATAAATAGGTGGCCTACCTCGGATTGAGGAATCGGAGGGACGAGTTCGAATTCCAGTCGAATCCATTGCATTCACTTGCGTTCTAATACCCTTAGGAAAGGTATTAATCCTCTTCTTCTCCCCCAAGCTTTGGGTAAATAGCAGGACAGACCGGGTTCTATAGTCTTGGATAGCAACAGGTTTTCCGCAGAAAAAATGGCAACTTACTGTGGGAAAAACCTGCCTCGTCAGTCATGTATCGAAAGATACATGATCGCCTAAGCGTGTATCACGCATGGTGCATAACTGACTGTGAGAGATAGACAGGCAGACAGCCAGACAGATAGATAGATAGATAGATAGATAGATAGATAAGGTTGTTATATAAATAAGCAGACAAGACAAATAATCCTAGTTTCTGATTGATAGATAAATAGATAGTAAAAAGCGACATTTCTTAGAAATACAAAAGTTTAATTGCTCTAAATTAGAGGATTCAACCAAGCCTGCCTCCCCTTTTCAGAAGATTGGAACTACACAGTCTTACTACGCTTGTTTGGATTACCCTCGGCTTAGGACGCCCAAAACGACTTGTTATAATAATTACTTTTAGAATATTTTGAAAGACTCGTCTTTTTCCATCTTTCCTGATCAATACTTGAGCAACGTTTGCTTTATATTCAACTCTTTCTTTCTTTCTTTCTTTCTTTCTTTCTTTCTTTCCCTCTCTCGGGTGCATTTTCCGGTTGCAAGGGGAAAAAACAACAACAACAAAAAAAACAACAAATAAATTCTCTTCACATTTTTTTTTTACCTTAAGCCTTAGAGATTTTCATTCGACTAATCTTACCACACACCTCCTCATCTAACCGTATTATTCATTTCTCCTCTCGTCTCTCTGTCTTTTGCCATCTCATCCGTCTTCATCATTTGACTTCGTTCTTGAGTCAATTTAATCGTGTACTTGTAAAATCGAAGCAAACACAGCAAAAAATAAATGTGTACAATTTTCTTTATATGTAATAATTTACTGAGAAGAAAACTTTTTGGAGTATTAAAGTTTTCATGTTAATACATCGGAAGGTTATGGGTTAGGAAGATTGTGTTGCGCCGACGTTCCAACTGTAGCGAGCCAACTCGCCTAGAATAGCATCCATCGAAATTCTCACTTTTAATTGGGTTCGACTGCCGGCTATTAGTACTTGTAGGTAATAATAGGTAATAATAGTACTAATAATAATTACTTCTTAATTGTTAAGATTTTAAGGCATAAAACTCGTCAGGTTATAGCTATTTTCTAAGCTCAGCTAAGATGTGACACAAGCCGAAAAAAAAAATGGAGGTACTCAGTGAGGATCGAACTCACTATTCAGTCTTAACTGATCTAGCCAGACACGTTTGCTAACCATGCCGAGGTGTCCAACTCGGCAGATTATAATGGGAGAAGATGTTATCTGTCCTAAACTCTCATCTTGGCTTCAGTCATACTCCGACCGCTGTAAATATAGTTTTTCTGTAATTTTTAGATAAATATTTCCATAATAATTGTTCTGATAAACCTTCTTCTTTGACACATCAACTTCATGATGTAATGGAATAACCTGTCACACCCCACCATGAGTGACTACACTATAGGTAGTAACTGCCTATAAGTATCTGTAAAACAACGGACTACAGACGCTAGCTGAAATCTTTTTCGGCTGGCAGGTTGAAATCTCTGCCTCTGTGCAGAGAGGAACCTGGGCGAGGCTCAGCCGAAGGACAGAGTCTCGTTCGGGGAGGTTGACCAACCCGATCCCGTTTATACGGGTTCTACGGGCATTTTTTGGCCTAGACTACGGGCTCGGAGAACCCACGTTAAACCCGGCCTTGTGCGACATGCAACCCTCGAGGGTAGGGGTGGCTAAATATTCTAGCTGAAATCTTTTCAGCTATACGGTTAAAATCTCTGCCTTCGGGCAGAGAGGAACCCGGACGAGGCTCAGCCGAAGGGCAGAGTCTCGTCCGGGGAGGTAGACAGACCCGATCCCGTTTATGCGGGTTCTACGGGGATTTTTTGGCCGAGCCTAAGGGCTCAGATTGACCCAAGTTAAACTCGGCCTTGTGCCACATCTACCCTTGTGGGTAAGCTAGTCAATATTGACTAGCTGGGATCTGTTGGGTACGACTCAGACTTACGTGAAAACTACCGACCTTCCAATAGTAGCACTCACTACTGGATTGCCTTGCGACAACCT